CCCAATTCTCCTTAGATTAAGCTCTCTCGATTCACACCTTTATTTTGAATGCTTCATTGTCAAAACGATAACGTAAGGTTCTCTGGTAAAAATTATCAACAAAGCAAACGAGCTTTAATTCGTTTAAAAGGGCAGAGAAGCAACCAAATGCTCCTTTTCTTGAACAAATGATCTTAGCTGAAGACAGCTACTGAGTACTTCTCTAATAAATTTCTTCTACGGTACTGCTACACACCTTGTTTGTATATAACTCGTACGTAAATGACAACTGACTGTATAATATTTCCTTCAAGTATACCCAAACTTCTATTATTACATGCAAAGGACAATTTTATTGGCTGAATTTTTTTCAATGGTAACATCTTTTGTCATCAATAAGACCCTTACACATGCTTATAAATAAATCAGATTTAATTATGGATCCAACTAAATGGGTATGTTGACTTTCCAATAAGTACAAGTTGATAAAGTAAAAACGATGGTGAATTTCTTTTTTTCACGCTGTTTTTCTCGAAGTGCGTGAGTTGTTTTCGAATCGAAGACGCTTCCGCCTAACGTTTTCTTTCCTCTCTCTTTTAAATAAATTTGCTACTATTTCTTTTTTTGATCTTTTGAGGGATCCGTGGAAATTCCGTTATCAGATTAAGCTTGCGACCAACTAATGAATCATCTCTGTGGATATATCAAATGTGGTCAAAAAATAAGGAGTGTTCAAAAGTTCAGAAGTTTGTGGCCTGTGGGCATTTTGACGGAATTGTTCCAGAAATGAGGGGAATTATTCTCGGGTAGAGGTTAATCCTTCAATTCCCACGTATCAAGAAAGGCGGATCAGCTGAAAGTTGAGCAGGCTTGACCGTATATGGCTACCTTGGAACAATGGCGGAAACAGCTTTAAAATACACGCGGGATTTTTCGAAATTTCCGATTATGATACAAGCGGCAGATTTAAACCATCGGCAAAACTGATGATACGACAAATCCTCCCCGTGGGGGTGATTCTGGTAGATTATTTAGGATGCAAATAGTCACGGTGGGGTGGATGGTGGGGCGACTGTAGCTTTCGTATCTGAAGTAAAGAAATGTCACCGTTTTTTCCTTTACATTGCTTAAACTGGCGAAAGATATATTGAATTAGAGGCTCACTGTGCGATACAAAGGTGATGAGAGCATGTGTAACCTGGTATTAACGTCCGAAGCCTACCACGCCGTTGAATCATGTAGGAGACTATCGTCATTTGCTCGATTGTTTAATGTGCGGGTATTTAAATTTCGCGCTGCGTGAATGAGATTTTGTTCCTGACGTGCACAAAAAGGTTCATATTCTCCTTCCTCTAGCGTGTGATTTAAACCTGGTAATAACGTCCGAAGCCTCGCGCGTCGTTAATTCATGTATTTTTACGGGTATCTTTCTCTTTCCGTATTTCAATTCAACGAAAGGAGTTAAAAAAAACAATGGCGAGTGGAAATAGTCGCACACGCTCGTTAATTTCTCCCATTCGACTCGACTGTTCAATCCGAGTATATTTAAATTTCGCGCTTCGTAAACAAGAAAAACTGAATAATCTCCTCCCACAATTTTTTTGTGTTTACACAAACCGACATCTAATTGATACCTATTCATCCTTTTGTGTGATAGCAGGAGGTGAGATTTTTTTCGCATAGTCATGTTCTGCTAGTTTCTTCCTTTTTTTTTTTTTTTGCTTAACAGGTTACGTGTATTCAATCACATCACTGACGCTGTCAGATTCATCTACCAAATTTTAGGGCAATCGAATTTCGCGCTACGAAAGTTATCCTATTTTCTTATATTGCATAAAGCGCTGCGCAATCGCCTCCCATAATTTGGTTACCTTAGCGTAAATGCATCAGCCCAGCAAAAACTTAACGCGCGAAAAAAAATCACACCCCTTGATTCGTTGAATGCCGCCTCGGTTGATTGAGAACAAACATAAAGTCCTAACGTCCGCTTTCTACAAAGGGAATATTTGGGAAGACTGTTGATAGCTTTATAATTTTAATAAAGACTGTTAGAATCCGTCGTAAAACTATGTAAGCTCAAGCAAGACCTGCTTTTTTTTTCTCCTAAAGAGAATATAGAACAAACCAAAAACAAAAAATTCGCAACTTCTCCATTGTGAGACTTGTGAGTAAAACATCACACTCTCGTCTTGCCGCACGTTTGACTGAAAACGAGAATAACTCAAAATAGATGTTCTCTCAAAAACTAGAGATAATTTCACTAATAAAACTCTGTTTTTAATGAGAGAGACTTACTTTTAAGCAGGACCTGCTTTTTTTTTGGAGAGAGACTGTGAGAGAAAAAATATCACACCCTCATCTTGCCACGCGTTTGATTGAAAACGAAAATAACTCAAATACATGCTCTCGCAAAAACTAGAAATCATTCCTTTGATCATTATATCTTGTATCATCAACATAGTTACACGAATTCGGCGCTTTTGCAAAGAAGGATCCTCGTGTTAGGTAAACAAGCTGGTTCTAAAAATGATGAGCGCCTCGTTTCAAAACAGCTGTGCGCCAGAAACAAGGTCTTTAATCGCCTCGAGGCTCTCCACAGAAAACCGTCACTTTCGATTGTATTTAACACCAGTAGTAAGACCAAAAAAATATATTTGTACGTTGAAAAAACTGACTGGTAAAAACCAGGCGACTTGACTTACATATAGAAAGAGGTGGTTTAAATGAGTCACTGCAACAGGGCTAAATTTAATTATTTTTGAATTTGCGAACCTTTGGCTCGATGCGCTAAACGAGGGTCAAGTCTAACCCTGGGTACACCGATGGAGATTGGTTTTACTAGTGCATATTTACACTACCCACTCCCCCAGTGCAGCAAAATTGTCACTCCGATAATTTTCTCGATCAGTTACGAGCTTTTCCGCCTCCCTTCGGCCAAAGTCCCTCAGGACAACCAATTACTCAGGACTTTTGGAAAAAGGTACATCAAATTTGTAATTCTTCTCACTGTCAAACATACATGCTTATGATGTCATTTCAGAGAATTCAATATTAGATCAACTAATTATCCCCAAAGTGATATTTTTCTTTATTCTCATCACTTATCTGGTTGATATTGTATTGATATTGTAAGGAGAAATTCTGTCTTGGTCACTCATTGGAGTTAAAGGGTTAAAGCCTCTCTGTTTTTAAATTTTTTTTAATCGCCTGTCTAATTATCCCCAAAGTGATATTTTTCTTTATTCTCATCACTTATCTGGTTGATATTGTATTGATATTGTAAGGAGAAATTCTGTCTTGGTCACTCATTGGAGTTAAAGGGTTAAAGCCTCTCTGTTTTTAAATTTTTTTTAATCGCCTGTCTAATCGGTTGGTTCAGACGTAAATTACGTCATTGAATAACAAGCTGGGAGTTATAATGGCTTGCTGTACATATTTGAATTTTGAAAGGACTTTTTTTTATTTGCATGAACACCAGTCACTTCAAAAACTTCACAATACAAAATTAGGCACTAATTAAGCCAAATTTGTGCGAGCGATTCTTTGAGGGAATTTGATATAATAGTATTTGTTTGGATCGACTTCCATGTCCAGTTGGACACCCTATTTGTTTGTTTTATCGCTTCTATCGAAATAGTGATATACTTTTTGCATAAATTTTTCCTCTCTGTAATGTGAAGTTGGATTTCATAACAAATTCTCGCCGTTACAATATTGACCCGATGGAATAATGAGATTCTTTAGTTACAAAAGAAAAATGACCGAGGGCTTACCTACCCCTTTTTAAAACTTTAATCCAATTTTTCGAAATAATTAATGCTTTTAATTATCTCATATCACACTTTGCAGTGTTTCTAATTGTTTTCTTCTTGTATGACGTTTGATTTTGAATAATCTCGGTACTTCACGGCCTTTAATTAATTCTAACACGCCCTACAGAAGTAGCTGCCGAAAAATAATATCGTGATGAAATGATCAGGTTCGAAAAATTTTAACCGTATGGACTGGGACCTAAATCTTTAACTTATCTATAAGCGCATTAGCGGTAATCTCACCAAAAGTAAACGTACTATGAAATCCTGTAAAATTCAGGAACAAGTGTTAATTGGTATTCATTATTGCGTTTCTTTTTTAAGCTTTCGCTTTATTTATATATTTAAAACTGAAACAGACAAAATACGTCAACTCCAAAACGCTAATGCATCCCCTCTGTGGTATTTCAACTAACCTTGAGACATTTTTGAATGTGAGAAGAAATAAACATTTTCAAATAGGTTTCACTTCCGGAATGTTTTTTCTCCACATGAAGTTATACTGAGATTAAGCAATTTTTAGTTTACATTGTTCGCTTTCATTAAATGAAGGTGTAAGTTATTAAAAGATTCCTGTTTGGCTTTCAGTAATTATCCACATTGTTTTTGCGATTTGAATAAAACCGCGGTTTGAAATATTTTTATTCAACTTTGAATAGCATTAATTTCTCAATAAAAGGTGAAAAACGCGCTTTTTATGAGAAAAGGACTGAACAAAAAATAGCGACATGTAAAAATAAATTCTACGTCTTTCGATTTGCATTTTTTCTTGATTACTGATCTATTATCTACCTTCCTCTAGAGTCTCTTCCGTCCCTAGGCAGGCAAATTTATCATGTTAACATATTAAGCTGAACCTTAACTTTCAAATCATCTCTCGGCAAACTTTGCTTCCTCTCATTTCGAATTTTGAAATACGTCAACTTACGTATCACTGCCGTTCTAAGCAAACCTATAAAAAACTGTTTCCTCGTCATGCGCGTCCTCAGATGAAAAATATAAATGAAATCAATGTGCAATCTAGCTCGGCGATCTTATTTGACTGAGTTTCAAATTGAAATGAAAACTGCGAGCGGCTTTTGTGGAATTGATCTCTATTCGACGCCTCAAAACTTGTTTACTCTGCGATACAGTTATGAACGGACTGGCAAATATTACATCGAAAAAAACCTGAATTGCCAAAAAATAACAAAAGTTGAATTTACATACCTTTGAGATCTCGACTGATCGTGAATGAAAGCTCAGGGCAGAACTTGAATGAGGATGCGTCTCATGTAATTGCTTTCTTGAATTATTCTGTGACTGAGTAATATGCCGTCAAACTGAAAGATTCTGGCAAGGAATGAAAACTCGTTCCCTTAACTGTCACAATGAAATGATTGACTGCAGTGCTGAAACATCGTTTCCGTCAGCATCTTTACGTCAGCATGTCATGTCTTCTGCTTTAAGGCATAGTTTGAATTCATACCCACTCTTCTCGCCACACGCGGTTCGGTTGGTATCTGTAATAGGCGCGATAAAGAGCAATTTCTTCTCTCAGAATCTTTCACTCAGCTCTAAACTGTAGCGATTGACGTACAAGTTCATTGTTTGAAAATTATTGTTAATGATTCAAAAATCAAATACGCGTCTCTTTGAGCCGATAGCCGCGTCAGTGTTAATGTGAAGACAATTCAATATATTGTTCGCATTCAAATGTTGTTTCCTTAGAACAGCTGCTCGACCAATCGTACTTACACTGTACTTGGAGGTGAAACAACCAGAAATACATCAAACACTTCGGCCCCTTTGCTCTTCGAGGGAAGGTCTCAGTGATTTCATTGTCTCACAGAGATAAATTAGCAGGCACTCGTAAAAGCCGTCATGCAATTGTTTCGATTATTTAACAAAGGATAAAACTTCAACTGCCTGACGACAAAAGGACCAGCATTTGCATAATAGCAGGATCTTGTCTAAAAAGAAAGGAAGCTGGCGGAATACATGTGCTGAAAGCAAAGAAAAAACGTACATAACCCACCTCGTTAAACGACAAGAAACTGTCCCATGTCGTTTAATTGTCCCATGAAACAGCAGGCTGAAAAAAGAATCTGTTCATCCAAAAATTTCGAGGAGAGGTGTAAAATGCCTAGCTCACAGCGTATAGCAATATAACCCGGAGGTTATCAGCGCCTCACCAGCGCACTGTGTTTAAATCTTTTCAGGTTTCAAGATTTGCATTTTGTGGTGAGGATTAAGTCGTTGCGAATTCGAATGTCCAATATCATATTTATCTCATCTGTCTTTAGCAAAGAGGACACCTTCAACTCGACAACGAATACATTTCTCTCTTTTTGTTTCGTTATTTTTCTGTTATGTTAGTTTTATAAAATTCCCTTTTGTTAAAAAATATATATATTTATGAAGGATGACGATATTTGGACTTTGTTCTTATTTCAATGGGAAGCTTCGTGCACGAAAACGGAGGGTCTCGCTTCCGACAACCGTTTCTTTATCTCTAAAACAAGCATCTGGTATGTTTGCAAATACTTCTTTCATCCAGCTTATATTAGCGTAAGACGCTTTTTCCTTCTAGAACAGTCGGACGACAAGCATGAATCATCGAGGAGTTCTTACCATTAATAACCAGGATCTATGTGAAACAATGGGATTACGGAACCGATTAGAATTGCATCATATAGGGCGTGCATGACTGAAATGTTAAGACAAGACCGACGTCTTTTCCGCAATTTCCGTTTACATTTTTAACTTGCATAAAAAGATTCATTTTGGATACCGAACTGGACCTCCGTATTTTTCCTCTTTATTTAACCGACGGTCGAAGCAGCTTATTGATGTAAAACATAAGGTAGAAGTAAAAAATGTAAGACGCCGTGACGAGTAGAAAAAAAAGCGCACAGAACTTCGAATTCAAGTGCAATACTTCGGCACTAAGGGACGAAGGGTATACATCCAGTCTATATTTATCCCCTCCTTAATATGGAAATAGTTTTTCGTAGGAATGGATTGAAAATCCAATCAACGAAAGCCAGCTCTGAGGGCAGGTGTCGTGTTGGCCAATCACAAAGCAGGTTTGCAATAAGTGGGCCTTTTCTTCATTGCAGACGGACGAATGAGCGAGTGAGAGAAAATCGGCTAGTTTTTAGGAAGAGTAAATTCAAGTGACGAGGGAGAGAGAAGTCATTTTTTTTCGGTCCGACGACGTAACTGCGTGGCGCAGACTAGTTTGCTTTAAGTCAGACATACATTGAATTATACCGAGTTTTACTACTCTAATATATTCTTTAGTTGGACCGTTGAAAAGATATCCCGTCGGTCCCTTATATATCATTACTGCGAAGATCGCTTTCACATTCATGAGATATATCTATTGCTCCCAAGTTTGATTACCAGTGAAATCAGCAAGGGACGAGATAGGTAACCAGCATTTCTTTTTGTTATATATTTATTTACAAGTTGACAGAGGCCTTTCAACGGCACCACGGTTTGCCCAATAATTTGATGGACGACAGCCTCATGTGTCACAGGAAATTTTTTTTGTTTGTTTTTCTCGCACGGAAGCAGGAAGTTGTTTGTGGTTTTCAATTTCTGTGTCATCCTGTCTCTGTTTATAAACAAGCTGATCGCCCTTATGCGTGCCATCCTTTTGTCACAATCGCCAGTGAATTAGATGAGTATTTATTGGTAATACTGGCCAGGGAGAGCCGCTTACCGTTTCAGTTCGTACAGTGCCGCTCAACAACTCAGTTTCATTGTTGTGCAGTATGTTTCGTTTCCTTAGCTTTCTGGAAGATTACTGAGTAGTTTAAATCTTCTATAAATAAAATTTGCATATAGTGACAATGCGTACGTCAAATTCTTAAATTAGAGAAGTAAAAAGGCCGGGGGCAGTTTTTAGTGAAAACTATAACTAGTTTTATGCATATTCGGATGCCTTTATGAAAGACTTATACAAAACCTAATGTATTCGCAAGGGGTATCCAGATATCAGAGTTTCGTAAACGCACGGCTGGAAAGCTGTAATTGAAAAAATAACGAAGAAATGAGTAAATGAAAATAAAGAGAATTCTCCTTTGCCTTGTGGTTAGTGTGCTTGATATACATATTTGAGATCAGACGTATCTCCTATTAACTATTTAACTCCCACAAGTGATTAACATGTATCCTCTCCCTATAATATCCATACATTATCCAGCAAACAGATAATGAGAATATTCAAACTTATTAGAAAATTCTGGTAACTAATTTTCAATTAATTGTATAGCAGCTGGAGGGGAGAATTAACAATCACACCAGGGGCCAGGAGTTCATTCAATTGAAATTTCCTGTCACCCCTTGAAGTAATTCATACATCTTGGTTTGAAAGCTCCGTTCTGGTTCCGGGCCATGGATGAGATGACTCATTGGATTGTAGTCGTGGACGAAAAAAACTTTATTTTTACCTTGGCTTAAAATGGACACAAGCGACTTGTAAGGAAGACTTGATTATGTTGATAACATGATGCAACCGTGCGATGGAGAGGCATCTCAACCAGAAAGGAAGGAATATTTGTGATCAGCTGCTATTGGTTCCTATTTGAACGAGTGTCACAGTTAATGTTGTTATTTTTTGAACACCCCTCACCCCCCCCCCTTCGAGCTCCCCCTTGTCCCTGAAAAACGTAACATTTACAGTCTCGGAACATGTGGGTTATTAAAACAGGTAACTTTCTTGTCCTTTTCCAGGTTGAGTAATTCAATTATGATTGTTACTGGAGCACCCGTAAGGCTTAGAGAAGCCATCCACATGAGACATCATCCGGATAACATCATCAGATACAGTGGAATCGAAAATACCCGAGCATGCAAGTCTACCATCAAAAAGCACATGCGCCAGTCAGTAACTGAAGTGGAGCAATGTAAGAATGAACATCAGCCGGTCGGATTGATGATGGGGAACGAAAGAAATCAAACACACCAGTGGCAACCAGAATCATCATGTTCCAGGTAGTTTATAGGTGTTAAAAAATTGAAAGCTTCACAGTGCAACTGAAGGTGACTCATCAAACAAACGACTAATCAAAAATTTAGCATTTATCATCTGGTCATGCAAGACGAGCAGATATATCATACAATTTTCGGCTGATTTCACTGTCTCTTTTAATGTTTTGGAGCTCCAAGTCCAGAGTTTTCAAAGCGCTAAGGTGCCAATGAAGAAACAGGAAGATATATAGTCGAACCACCCCTTTTCAACGGGTAGTTCCGAACGTTTCACCTCGACTATCATGAAACCTTTCTAGAATGACCATCAAACTCCAACTCTGTCTCAATGTGGCCGTAGTGATTGGCCTGACGCAAGGGGTGATTGCACACTAGGTAGACTTATTGCAATCGCCGAAAAGAAAACCTCAAAATCTGTTGTTTCTTTTTCTTTTAACAGAATGGTTACAGTTCAGTTACTTCGCGTACTTTAGATTTAGCGCGCAGGCTGGAATAATGTGAAGTTGCACTGATCTTTCTTCTTCTCCAACGAAGCAAAATGTTTTCAAACTCCCTTTGCATCGCTCGATTCATAACCCCATAAATTATCGGGTTGATCCAAGCAGAGATGCAAGAAAACAGCATGGGCATCGACTGTAAGTAGGAAGGAACCGATATCTTCAAGCCAAACTCGACAGCTTTCATGGCAATCCCGGGCATCCAAGAGACACAAAATCCGAATACGGCGACGAAAAGAACCCGAGAGGTTTTTATTTCCTGTGCTCGTGATACGCCTTGGTTGTTTCCTTCATGTATGAAAGGAACGACCGCATTTTTGTGTCGCCAGATGACACGGTAGACACCGCAATAACCAAATAACACGAACAACATCGATAGAGAAGTGCATATTCCAAAACCTATGTAGACCACCTTCGTAGTATTTTCATCGGGGAAGGTCACTCTGCAGTGCAGGGCGTTTGGCTGCCATTCGAAAGTAGCTTGCAATGCAACAATGAACACGAGATAGAAAATAAACATGAAAATCCACACGAAACAAATCGAAATCATAGTTTTCTTTTTAGAGAAGAAGAACGAGTAATGTTGTGGTTTTACAACGCAAACATATCGATTAATTGCTGTAAGAGCCAAGATACTGAGGGACACAAAAACCCAGTAATTTGTAAGAAAACCAGTAAACTGGCAAAATTCGTGACTAAAGGGCCATTTGCGTAAACCAGAAGCTGCGGTCACAGAGGGAAACACAAAAACTGCCACCATGAGATCTACCACCGCCAGGGACAAAACGTAGAAATTAGTGATAGTTCGTAGACTCTTGTTTCTGTAGAAAGCCAGACAAATCAAGACGTTTCCAGCCAGAGATAGGACCATCATGATGGTAAAAAAAGCTGTGTGTAGAACGACAGCTCGCAGCCCTCTCGAATCTTGTTCTTCGCTTTCTACCATTGTAATGCTGAAGCAAAGAGCTAAAATCCTTTTAATTGATATTTTTTCCCTTGAGATATGAAGCAAGGAAAGTATGAGGTATCGAGGTCTTTTCTCAACAGTCTTAGTCCTTTCTACGGCTCTTTCTTGGAACGTTTTGTATCAACTAATAGCTGACTGTGTATACCCCATTTTTCTGTTGGTGCAAAGTAACTCCTAGTGACGCACAAATATTGAACTAAAAGAAAATATAATTGGTACAATAGTTTCCCTTCAGCCAATGGGAAGCAAGAATTATTGCAAAGGGAAAAGAAAGCTGACAAGGCATTGGGATATAGAGCTGTCAACGCTTCCCTCAGAAACATTTTCCTTCATTTTTATATCATTATTTACTTTGCAGCACGTACTAGAAACAAGGCTAAAGAGGTTTAACTGCAGAATAACTGTTGTTTTCAAA